GTGGTATTCCTGGGGCGATTGGAGCAGTTGATGGTACCCATATACAAATGATTCGACCGGTCAGGAACGAACACCTATACTATACTCTTACAGGGGGTCCACTTGATGACCTAAACCAGTTTTGTTCACAAATTGTTGGCGCGTTGTTTCGCATTTGAACTCTGCCAAATCGCTGTGTTGAACCATAAAATCTACCAAAGCTTGGAACTGACGTCCCTGAGTCTGTAACTTTTTTGGCTTTCCCTAAAATGATTAACAATTTAGATACAAACAAAACCTTTAATTCTGCTTACTTACTTGTTTCGTTTCCTTTGCTTTTGCTATTTTGTTAACGGAAGATATTTGCGTTTAACGAACGAGTTTGACATACGTGTTCGTATGACAGAGTGCGGTGATGCCACATTTGCGTAGATGCGAAAGAAGGTACGAAAACGAATAACAGAGTGCGATACAATTTTTTCTTTCAAGAGAAAGGAAGAAAGACGAATAGGTATGTCGTCTTTCGGTAAAGTGTGACTGAGTTTTCCCGTCCACAAATATCATAGACCGGCCCTGAAAAAAAGGGTTAATCGTCCATACCAGTTTTGGATAGCTTGTTAGGTCTTCTATCAGTGCTTAATTTGCCATGGACTGAGGTTTAATATGATGCAGCAATTGCTAATCCGAACCCAAGTCCCTGCCCCCTGGGAATGCGAATCCGTTAGAAAGTCCAGAGTCTCTATATCAGAATTAGTCCACGTAACATCATTTTTTTCTTACAGCTTTATTAACTCCCTTTATCGACTCGCTAATGCATATCCAAGATATTCACTTACCTTTCTTGTTCTCACTTTTGTACGTATTGAAAAACTCCCTATAGGTGTCCCACTATGTGCTAAATTTAGATTTATTTGCGTTGTTATATAATTTCCTCGTGTCTCTTCGTAGAGACGTAAGGTCCTTTGTACACCAAACCGGCTGTGATTGCTGCTCTGGTTAGGTGGTTGGACTAGAAGACTCACGGCATCTTAGACGAGTTTTGGTTACATCATTCACAGAATATTCAACACTACTGGTCCTCAGTATGTCGAAATCCTCACGGATTCCCTGTGCTGTTTTGTCTTTCTAGGGTTCTTATAAGGCTTCTGTTTTGTTTCAAAATTCTGTTTTGTTTCAAGATCCATATTATATTGCGTGATGTCTATGACTGCCCCCCTTATTTTATTTACAAAAGTAAGAGTATCTCCTCTGTTGTTAAATTGTTATCAAGTATAAAATTGAAAACAGACTCACCTTTGGCATTAGTGTTGATGCTTCCCCAATGAAAATGGTTACTCAGTATTTCGCCCGCTGGATCCGGCTCCTCGTAGGGTAAGAAGACAGAGGCAACTGCTTGCTTCTTTCCATAACCCTCAACGCTACTTCTACCTCTCGAAAACTTCTCTTCCGCTTTGTCCGTGGCTTATTTGACCACCAGACCGCCGTTCTTCTTAAAGGTGATTATATTCCGCCAACTACCCATATGAAGACCGGCGTTCTGTATATCGACAATCCTCTGCATCGTATCTAGTTCCAAGAGAGAAGGGAACCATGCAAAGGCTACCATACCTCATAGGGATCTCCTTCACGGGAACGGTAGAGTAATAATCGCCCATGTGCTGCATTTCGAGTTTGCTCGAATGTGAAACATTTTCCCAAATTTGGTGTGCTTCATTCCGAATTCCCAAAAAAATATTGGTAATATAATTCGAGCACATATAGCCTTGTAGATTGAAAACGAAATGAGATCGCACGTGTTTTTCTGAGCACGTACACTATTTATTTAAAAAATACAGTATTTACATTAGTTTTTGTAGTAAAATTAAAGAAAATAAAAAAGGGCTCCTCCTCCTCCTGTCCACAGCTTGCACACACTTTGTCTTCCAGGACTTTCATTACTCTCCACAATATTTTACACATTGTTGTGCGATCAACACTTATTTTAAAATCATTTGCCGCTACCCTCTGAAATCCACCAACAGCCAGGAATCTGAAGGTAGCTGCTAACTGCAGGCTTTCGGGAATGGTACCCTTGTATATGAAAGGACCAACTTCTCTCAAAATATCCATAAATGCTTATTTTAACACGTTCCAGTATCATTAGACTTTTTCTGGTAGAAACCAGGGCAATTAACAAGCCAGCAGGCATATTTTTTTCTTAATTTTGTTGTTAAACAAATTGCAAATTCCAATGAAACATATGTTTTTTATTGAACACATTTCGTAACATATTGAACACAGCTATGCTTTCAAGCCGCACTTTCGCTCGAAATTGAGCACACTATTTTGCACAACATGGGAATTTAAAAAAGTATAGGAATTCAAAAACTCTCGGAACATGTCACATGGGCGAATGACTTTCACTGACCCTACCATCAAGGTCATAATTTATCGAAGCTGAAATCGACTTACAAAATTAGAAATAAAATCAGATGACACAAAGACAAAGTTTCTTTCCCATTTTTCCCCTTTTCCAAAACCCATGCAAGCTTAGAGATAAAAAACTTTGCGACTTCCTCAAAGATAAAATGTCGACTTAAAAAAAACATAAGGGAACTGATGAGAATCAGTGGCGAGATACAAAACTATTGTCTTCTCTGTCCTTCGCCAGACTATCTAAACAAAATACCAATTGTATCCCAAATAACCCGCCATCACTACCGAATTTATAGAGTAAATAAGTGAAATTATTTTTTTTTTCGATTATTCCATCAAAAGCGGTTTATTTTCTGTAGCATATACAAGAATTAACTAAAATTATACACGCAATGTTCCCCGTTTTTGGTTAGGACTAAAAGACTCTCTTTTGCACAGTTATTTCAAAATTATTTATTCATTATTTTTTTTACTTGATTTTCTCATTAATTATGACGGCCTCTTTCGTCTTTTGCATACAAACACATAAACCACTGCAAACATATGTACGTATGTATATACACATATATATATAAGTACGCTTGCAAGCGAATGTGCTCGTATATTTATATAGCTGAAATGACCGTTAATATCAATTTGTTTGTTTTTCTTCATATTTTATTTTGTTTTCTTTTTTTGTTGTTTTTTTTCGGGTTCGGTTTTAAAAATATTAATACACCACATCACGTTAATCAGTAGTAAATATATATATATAATATTTTAATTAATATTAGTTATTTAATAATTGGTTGTTTATGCAATAGACACATAGACACAGACATTATACATACAAATTACACTAAATTGTTTTTGTTGGTTTCATCGTTTTATAAAATATGTCATTAGTTGTTAATACCTATTTCACTTGTTTTAAATTTGTTTCATTACTTACTAGCATTATTAATTAATATAATTATTATTATTCAAATCAGGAAGATTACGGTGCGTTTTAGACACATTACACATATATAGAGAAGTTTATATAAATAATGCAATCAGTTGTTAATACATTTATATTTCTGTTATTTTTGTTTGTTTGTTGTTTTTTGTTTTTAGCTTGTTAGTAATAACATCTATTACAATAATATGCTTGTTTCCTATTTTTATTACTTCATAATCATCATCTCTCGTTTTATATTTATTACACGCTTAAAACTATAGCAATTTGTAAAACGCATTTTTTTTTTATTTTTTGAAACTACATAAAAATATAACACATTTTAGAAAGAAAGTGAAAAACACTTTTTGAATTCATGGCGTTTTTTGTTTATTATTAAATCATGTGAAAAATAGCCGGATAATTATTGCTATAAAACTTTGTGAGTGAGTTTTTATATTTTGAATATTTTTTAAAGAGATACTTGCAGTAAACTGTCTCTATAAATGCAAATGGTAACATCGTACAATAATACTGTCATAATGAGCAGTTCATAATTGCCAATATCTGACATTTTTATTAACAGAAAGGTTGTAAGATAAAAAAATCATAATAACTGTTGTAAATGTAATAAATTATGCAAAAAAAAAAACGTCATCACATTCAAAAAGTATTTTCTAATTTCCATTTTTATTAAATTGGGAGGGTGAGTTAGAAATGGAAATAGAAATGTTGTGAAAGAGTAAGAGAGATAGAATAGTAAAGATAGGAGTATTGTAAGAATAAATAATAACTTCATCACAAATATATCCAAAACTAAATTCGACAACTGTAGATTGGAATAATAAATAGTTCAACTTTTTGGTGAATTATTTTCGTTTTTGATTGGTATTATGGATTATGTGCATTTTTATAGGAAGATATGTAAGATTATGTTTTATATTCGAGAAAAAAGAACTTTCGGTATATGTAGTTGGAATTTATACAAATATCTGAAAACGAGTATTTGGTTGGAAAATATCTCGAAATAAGTTCTCTACATGGAGACAAACATAGGTATACAAATTGACAATGTTATATAACAAGCTATTTCGTAAATAAGCACATACATTGGATTTACTATTTTAAGTGCTTCTCAGAGGCTGGCACATAGCTAATTAAAACATAGGCAGTTGGTAATTAACACACATTTGATAAAAATTGATTGGCTTTGTTAAATATCGGTTTATATTGGCTTCGTTTGTTTCTATCTATGTTTTCGTTCTGTTATTATATTGTTTTTTTTTTTTTCTTCTTGTTACGGTTAGCCAATGAAGGTGATAGGCATCCTTTTCTTTTAATGGGTTTGTATTTTTTTTTATTTATGGTTTTTTAGGCTGCGAATGTTGTTTTTAATCTCACTTCTGTTTACTATAACTAAATTTGCACTCACATACACACGGATACATTAATATACATACAATTAACTAATGAAATATATATTTTATAATAATTTAAAAATAAAATCAACTATCAACTAAAACAATGATTTACACGTACTCAAAAACGCAATACACATGTTCGTTCATGCCTTTTTTTAAGATGAGCATTATTTGCGGCTGTTTTCTTAGATTCAAATTATTTATACTATATAAAAAGTATTTTCTCGTTACTATTCCATTTTTCATTCCTTTGTTGTTGTTTTACAACTTAATAACACATAAACACACGTACATATATATTAACCGAAAAAATAAATAAATAGAAACGAAATACTGGTGGTTTATACCATGACAAATGCATCTTCACCACAAAATAGATATGGATATTGATCTATCATCGTTTGTACAATATCTTCTAAGTAGGGACGCAACTGCTCAAAGTGGCCCATATCCGTAAAATCAATAGGAATCAATGTTGGCCACCAACATATGGCTAAATTCTTACTATCCATACTGTTAAGTTTGGAATTATCGGAAACACTGTAAAAATAGTAAAAAAAGAAATAGTCAGTTTTGTAGGGAAATTATAGAACACTTTTCAACACATACTGCACAAAATGTTGAAAGATGTATTTCAAAATTTCAAAGTTTACAGGCGGCAATTTTTCCAGCAACGTTTTTAAAGCCATTAATCGACAACTTCTATCGGTTTTAACTTCAACGTTTACTTTTGAACCACACACAGTGCGAGAACCTAAAAGAAAAGAAAAACTTATTAGCATAAATCTTGTCTAAGTGTTCGAAATAATAAAACAAGTATTTATTTTACAGTATACAAAAATCATCGCTTAACCAAACATAGAAACACAATAAAAAGTAGGGTAACCAATATCATTCAATAACAATTGTAATCTCAAATGTCTATAATGGGTACATGTATCTACGAGACAAGTGCTGCTACAGGTCATATTTGCAGTTCTGACATTTAATTGCGAATTTGTTTGTAAAACGTATGCTCCACTACATATCTCGATTATAATATGTTACTTAAGTTAAGTTTATTGCATTATTTTAATTTTAATGTTTTGAGTATATTAACAAATTGCAAACATGATAATGACAAAATAATGTATTTGCTTACTCCCGGCATATCCAAATGTTTTGTAGAGGATCTACACAAGGGTTCTTAAAACTACTATACAAATTTTAAACTTACAAACTAACATAAAAACTAAGGACCAAAACAGAGCATACTAACCCCTGTGTATGCCGGGAGATGACGATGTATAAAGACTACCAGACAAATAATTTCGTTCCTTTAAAATGCCAATAGGAGATAAATAATTTGTATTTGACCAACTAAAATGCGACTTTGAATTTAAAATATCGCGCATCACACCTCCATTGAAATGTTGGGAGATTTTTAACAAATTTTTCTAAACCTAAGAGGGATAAATGAATTCATTCGAATACCTTTTATTTTGATGTTGATAGTTCCTACATATGCATTTCCGAATTACACCCCTTTCCAAAATTTCCAATTCTTTCATTACGGATGTAGATATGGTAAACCAAATCGGAAATGCATAAAGTAGGATAGGCCGAATACATACTTTAAACAGAAGTAATTTCGTTTTAATACCTAGATACTTGTTGTTAAATAATGTTGAAAAAGCTCCTTTCATCTTATTTGCTTTCTTCAAATTATTCCGGGCATGAGAATTAAACTTTAATAATTTGTTAAAATAAATTCCAAGATGTTTAATATTATCTTCAAATTTTATCTCATTACCACGAAGGAAAAGTTTTAAATCTTTTCTTTGCGGTACTACAAAACGCTTACATTTTCCGGACGCGTTACGCAAGCAGATTGCTTTACTTTTTGAGGTATTTATCGTAATGCCCCAAGACTCATAAAAATTATTTACATGTTCCACACTAGACGTAGAGCTTCTAACGGAGACTCGCTATGAGCGTAAAGCAGCGAATCATCGGCACACAGAATGCCTTTCGAGTCGTTATATTGATGAGGAAAATCATAAATAAACAAATTAAATAGGTTTGGCGACAAAATTAACCCCTGCGGCACCCCACAGTTAACATTTTCTAAAGAAGATAATTTATTTCTATGCGTAACACAAAATTTTATATTATTTAATCAAAGCAGGAGGAACCCCTATCGCAATCATTTTATATAATATGCCTTTATGATCTGTTCTATCGAATGAATTTTCCACATCAAGCGACACAGCTACAGTACATTTTCGCTCCCTTAAATTTTGAACGTCATTAGATAATTTTAATAGTGCATGAACAGTAGAATTTCCTCGTTTGAAACCAAATTCGTCCAATTTTAATTTTACAATTTTTTCGAATAATTAGCCTAAACTTGGAAGAAGGGAAATAGGTCTAAGAGCATTCAGATCATTATTTCCCTTCTGTTTTTGAGTAGGAAGAATTTTTGCAATTTTCCAATCATTTGGAAAGTCAAGTATTCATATGCTTCTTCAGGAAACTTATTTATTAAATAGTTGGATATATTGTCAATACCAGAAGATTTCTTATTATTCAAAGATTTTACAATATTTATAATTTCATTTTTTGAAGTAAAAAAATAACAATTAAGATCACTTAAAATGTCACAATCACCATTGAATGTGGTTTCAGAAGCAGGAAGAGAGCATATAGTTCTATCAATTGTTCCAACAACGTCATCAATATAGTTAATTGGACTGGGGGAATTGTAAACAGATTGAAAATGATCTTTAAGGTGTTCAAGTTGAAAGTCCGTTCCTACGAGATCCTGCCCATTTAAAGAAATGTATCCACAATTGGATCTACCAATAAGTTTAAAAATATCTTTGTAAGTAGTCGGACCTGGTTTTATTTTGCTAAGACAATCATTAAAAGACTTCGCTTGGTCGATATTAATCTGTTCTTTAATTATTATTGAGATAAGTTCTACTTGCTTTGAAATGAGCAAATACACTGCGTATCATAACTATAGACGCACCCTTAATTCAATTGGTATGTTAGTTGACAAATAAAATGGACCCATTAAGTTATTGTTCACAATAAAACGATCAAAAACACATATTATTCAACAAAAATAATTAATTTATTCTTTATGGTTTCGCCGAATTCTGCACTTTCAAAATTGCTGGTGTTGCATAACTATAGACGCACTTTTACAAAATTAGAAAAATTTATTTTTTAAAACTTAAATAAAATAAAATAACTTTTATAAATAATGGGTAGGGCCTCCCTTATTTTGAATAAGTTCAAAAATTTTATCCATCACACTGTTGATCAAAATTATTCGCAAGTCTTCATCGATTGACCGCCATTCATCGATAATCACTTCTTGGAAATAAAATAATGTTTGGTATTGGCGGTTTTCTGCATAGACACGACGAGTCAAGATTCCACACATGTTCTCGATCGGATTCTGGTCGGAAATTTTAATATTTTTCGATTTTAACCATACTTGAGTATGGCCACTTTTATGAACTGGTGCGTTGTCCTGCTAAAAAACGAGTCTTTGATTGTTGCTACTTTCCCAAAATGTCAATAATTTGTCTTTCAAGACTTGAACGTACTCCATTTAATTCATCCGACAACATGGAAATGTCAAATAATGGCTATAAAATGCTCCCAAGGCCATTAAGGAACCGCCACCGAAATATTGTATTAAGAAATAACGATATTTCGGTAACCGCCACCTTGGGAGCATTTTATAGCCACGGAATGCTTTATTTGACATTTCCATGTTGTCGGATGAATTCAATGGAGTACGTTCAAGTCTTGGAAAACAAAATATTGCAATTTTGGGAAAGCAGCAACAATCAAGGACTCGTTTTTTAGCAGGACAACGCACCAGTTCATAAAAGTCGCCATACTCAAGTATGGTTAAAATCGAAAAATATTAAAATTTCCGACCAGAATCCGATCGAGAACATGTGTGGAATCTTGACTCATCGTGTCTATGCAGAAAACTTCCAATACCAAACTGTATTTTACCTCCAAGAAGAGATTTTCGATGAATGGCGGTCAATCGATGAAGACTTGCGAATAATTTTGATCAACAGTGTGATGGATAAAATTTTTGAACTTATTCAAAATAAGGGAGGCCCTACCCATTATTTATAAAAGTTATTTTATTTTATTTAAGTTTTAAAAAATAAATTTTTCTAATTTTGTAAAAGTGCGTCTATAGTTATGCAACACCAACAATTTTGAAAGTGCAGAATTCGGCGAAACCATAAAGAATAAATTAATTATTTTTGTTGAATAATATGTGTTTTTGATCGTTTTATTGTGAACAATAACTTAATGGGTCCATTTTATTTGTCAACTAACATAAAATTTGAATTAAGGGTGCGTCTATAGTTATGATACGCAGTGTAGTCTGGATGTCTACGATTCAATGTACGAGAATATAAAATTTTTAACTCTTTCTGCCATCTATATTTTTTTTTTAACAACAGTTTAACCTTGTCAAATGTTTTAAAATTTTTATTCCTGATGTCTATCTGTTCAGAGTGCATCAATGAAACCTCATTTACAACATTTTGCACTTTATCAACATAAAAATAAATTTCTTGATTAGACAAATTACGATTTTTCGGTGGAATGTAACTTGATAAGGCGCTGCAAATGTACTTTTTAAATAAAGCCCAGTTAGTGTTTTTGAAAGATGTTGTTGTTTTTGGAACTGCATATATAAAATCAAAATTAGACAAAGAAATGTTAATATTTACAGGCATATGATCGGAGAACGTAGGTAAAGTAGAAGTTCTGAAATTTTTATTTAAATTATCAACTACATTATTACTTATTATGAAATGGTCCAAATGAGATGAACCTGAGGGGAAGGATGGAAGTACATGACATATTCTCATAACAGAACACGCTTCATCGTGTAACCAATTTGCAAGGACAGCACCATTATAATTATTACTCGCATCCTCCCAGGAAATGTTCTTTGCATGTCTTCTTTTTTTCTGAATATCTCAAAATCAAAGTCAATCCATTTACAATTTCCAACCTATTGTAGTTACTAGGAAACTAAATTGATCCCAACACGATATTTTTATTAATACCATTATGTCTTATATGAATCTCCTCAAAAACACTCAAGAAATTATGACCCGGGATAAAAATTCGTTTAAAGGAAATAGATTTTTAAAAAGCTATAGCCACACCTAAGGCACTTTTGTCATAAAGCACCGAGAAATTGTCTAAAAAATTTGCATATTATTACGTAAATGCAATTCTTGTAAAAATGCAATATCTATCTTGAACTGAGACAATAAACTATAAAACTCGATTTTTCTAGCACGATCCAATAAGGATCTCACATTAAATGTAAATAACATCTGTAAATTTAAACATCAACGGCTCGGCTTTAGCTTGATCTTTTGATATTGATTTATAATTCTTCAAGAATTTCATAATTCGTTCATGTAACGATGGCACTTCAGGTTCAAGGAGCATTTTTGCAATTTTTAAAAAATGTGTAACCGAAGTAGGTTTCTTTGGTTTTGGTTGCAATGAACTTATATCCGGTGTTCGAAGAAAACTGGCATATGATTGATTCAAAACTTTTTGACAAGATGAATCCACAATCTTGGTACCTAACTCCTTACGATTTTTTTGCTCAGAAACAAACTTACTGCGTGTGGCGCAGTAGTTAGCAAACGCTTTGCAACCTCTAAAATTTGCAGGATGGCCTCGTTCCTTACAGTTAACGCA